CAGCACTGGACTAGAGGATGCACATAAGCACACATAGATATAGGCATACTGTGTGACATCTATACGTAGCTGTATAGCACTACTACCGCACTGTTCCTGTATCGGTGAACTACACACTGAACGATAGCCCCAGCCGGAGGGCGACTTACGGATGGTTCGGTTGTTGTTCGTGATCTGAATATCGCCATCACAGCGGTTGATATCAAACACAGGTACAGGTGCTGGCTGAGCAGATGCTGGTGGAACAACACTGAACTTCACTTGACTACCTTTCAGAGGAACACCGGCAATCGTAGTGGAAACAGCGTATTCACCGGCTGCAGCAGGACGGCATTTAGCAACCAGATGTCCAGTAGATGATTGCTGTAGGGGCTCGCACGGGACTGTCTTGCCGTCCGGATTTGTCACACATACTCCTACATCGATCTTCCTCAGCTGGTCTTGGCTGATAGTAGCAGCATCGGAAAGGTGCTCCATCTCTATGTCGATCTCAACATCACTGCCCATCTTACGATTGCCTGAGCAACGCACTTTGTTCTTTGCTGCGTCAACACAAAGACCAGCTTTGCTGATGGCAGCCACAAGATCACGTGTGGCGCTTGCCGCAAAGACGATGCCGCTCACAACACATGCCTCAGCATCACTCTTGCCAACCTCTGCTGCGCCATTCAAGGCTGTCACTAACCAAGACGACATGCGCACAAAATCCACACTGTCCTGGCAAGCTTCCAGCATGCCTCTCACCACCTCTGTTTGTGACACACTGCCCTGCAGCCTAGCGAGTTGCTTCTCCAGAGGTCCCAGTGCCTGACTTCGAAGATCATCAAGTTCATTCAGAACACTGGTTTCACGTTTCTGAATAGCTTCTACCAGAGAACGGAAAAATAGCAAAGCCTCTTCTGATGCAAGCTCTATCTGATCATGAAGTCTACGAATGGAGGACTGTACTTTCTGAATGGAGCTCTCCAGAACGCCATCACTCTCAGACACACAGCTCGACAACAAATCATTCACTGACGCTCTCATCCTCTCTGCTGCAGCATTGATCGACACAAGATCTTGTTTATGCGGCTCATGTTTTCCAGTACCAATGCATCGCTCACATAACAGCTTCTTACACTTTGTGCAGAACTTGGTCAGACTACTGCTTGGGTGCAGTGCACAGCGATGTTGTGATTGAGTAGCTGAAGCAGAAGTAGTGGTCTCAGCAGTCTCAGTGCCTGCTTCAGTCAATGCAAGTACCTCATGACCATGTGTAGCTCGGGAGCGCTTGTGTCCTTCAGTGTGTACACTGCACAGATGACTGCTGCATGTTGCACAGCGCGATACAGCCACTTCCATATCCATACATTCATCACACGACACTGCAGACTTCTGCTCTGCACCACCACCCTCTACATTCGCATAACTATCTGGCAAAGACAGCATGGGGGAGCATCCAACCTGCTGCCATGGTGTTGAAGCCCTACACTTTGGACATGTAATGGAGCCATCTTCATCAACATTCTGCTCAAGACACAATATGCACAGAGAGTGGAGGCACTGAACCAGTTTAATCTTCTTGTTTTCACAGCCACATGCTACACAGCTCACAGGAGGCATGCCGTCTCAAGCATGAAATATCCTCTAGTCCAACACACTCAGCTTCTCACTAATTGTTTTCTCAACAATCAAGCTGGCAAAGGGATACTGGAACCTCTTTGGGATCACAAATGCAGCACGAGGAACTCGAGAAGAAAATAAGACTCGCACCAGGCGGTGAACACAGAGATAAAAGTGGCACGGTGTCAGTAGTAGATGTAGCTCTGCACAGCAGTCTAGTGCAATGTAGGCTACACACAGCATGTACACATGCAGACAGTTGTACTCTCACTGCATGTACTTTTCAGAGATTGCATGACAAGCTGAGCTGGCCCCAAGCCAAGGCCAGGTCTGTCATGACAGGTAGCACAGACTTTGCTGTCAATGCACCTGCACCCACCCTGCACTGAACCATGACATTCCCATTCTGTTATAGTCCACCAAACAGCATACAGTCATGTACAGTGCATTGCATCACACAGCCTGTCTATAGCACAACTACCACTGACCACCCCTCCCCCCCCCCCCCCCCCCCATTCACAGAGCCAGTCTCTAGCACCACTACCACTGACCACCCCTCTCACACAGAAATAATTACTTACTTGAAGAGCACTGAAAAGAGAGTTTCCTATGTTGAAGGCAGAGATCTCCTGCAGGGAAAAACAATCAAAAGTGTCCCTTCCATATTCACCTTTGATATTTCTGACCTACCCAAGTTGGTTGTTTTGCCTTGCTGCCTCAAATTGTAGTTAGAACGCAGTGCCAATGCATTAACTGGTCTCGCCTTCGTACTATAAGAGGCGACATTCTCTGTTGCCGTGGGACTTAGCTTGTGCATATTTTCACTGCGCTCACGTTCCCCTCTTTCCTCATTTACTGGGCCGTGAACCTTTCAAGTGGGAAAGCTGTTGGTTTGCTCACTGGAGATGTGTTGGAGCTAGGTCTCAGGTCGTTGAATGTCTCCTCAGTTTGCCTCTCAGTTTTGTGCCCAGTTATCACACTTTCTGACTGCCTACTGTAAAACCGGGAATTTTTGCTGGTCTAATATTTTTGGTATTTCCTAAAATCAACTGTTCGGTGGCACGAAAATTTCGGTAAATCAGTTTTCCAGATATAAATGTATTTTGCACACTATGTGGCATCGCTTTTTGGATTTTAGGTCTCGTTTTATTTTAGGTAAAAAGTACCTGTACCGAAGTTTGACGATGTACCGAAGTCACCGAAAATAAAACTGCAGCGAAATCTTCCGGTTTTACAGTGCTATCTTGTTACAGTGGTGGTCAGTTTCCATGGTTACTCATAACTCATACTTACATGTATGTATACTTTTATATGTTCAGGTTATAAAATTACAAAATACCTTGTACTTGAGAGAATTGAGACTGCTGCTGTGTAAGTCTGGCGACGATGTGGTCTGTCCTCCTCAGTCCACCGTCCACGAATCTGACAGGGTCACTCTTCTGGCCAAAGTTCCCTTGTCTGTGACTTTCACAGTGACAACTGCCAACAGCGGCGCCTAATCTGAATAGATCAGTCCTTTGGGCAATGTCCTCTGATGAGTGAGTTCAATATTCCCAACCTCACCCTACATCAATTCTGTCTGCTCTAGCTGTCACTGCCATCCAAACAAATCTCTCTACGATTGAGAGTTTGCGATGTGTGCTGCGTCGACTGCTGCATGCATTCGGAAATCACACTGACAGTCCGTGATATCCTCCAACTGCACGCAGTGACGTTCAAGCCGGTAAGACTAGCATAGCACCCACTATTATTAGCAGTTTTTTCTCTGGTCTCTGACGTTCGACTCCACTACATGTATATATCGGTTCCGCGCCAGATCTTGCACTCGTTCATGTACTGGCTTAGTTGGCGAATACGGAATAGTGTCTTCGACTCCGTCGTGGCCCAGCTAACCAGAATGGATACGACCAATGTACACTGCCAGCCACCTTCGCAGACTAACTGGTAAACGACGAATTATTTTCCTGCACGCTCCGCTCTCTTCTTAGACCGGCTAAAATGGTGCGCTGTCGTGCTCCGATCCACGCTCTGTGGCATATCGGTTGGCTGCATGCGGGGCCTCGCTCAGAGTCGCTGCCATTGCATATTGCCGTCGTTACGTAGAGGGCGGAATCATTACCGTTCGAAGTAGTTCAATCAAGCGCGAATATCTCTCCGGAGTCCGCATATTCCATGTAACATTGTTCATCACCCGGCATTATATCCTCGAAGTAGTAGCGCCTCGCAAAGAGAGCTAGAACCCTCCGCTGCTACCAGAAAATGGCTTGGAGGCCGCGAATGACTTGGCCCCTAGTCCACTAGTTTTTCACTCATCGCGGGTAAAACTGTGACTGCAACAACAGAAACACTCGAAGGCAAAACTTGAAGGGAGCGAAACGCGGCTTCTTCCGGTCCCACAGGTATTTAGGCACAACAACAGCCAGAGAGCTAGTGGCAGGCAGCATTGCCAGACACAACATGACGAAACGCAAGAGCAAGAATAAAACAGAGGAGAGCAATCCAACAGGATCAGGAACAAGTGTGAACGCTCGGAACTAAAAAAATGAAAAGCGTGCCATCAAGCTCGTACATCAACCATGTCAACGCATGCACGCAATCATAATGCATAAATGCCATAATGGTGCTGCTTGCGCCCTGATTATTAGTGATTTTGATACACGCACGTGGTTCATCGACATCATTAGTCTATTTCCATAAACGGCGTATCACTATCACTGTATCAGTGTGAGCAACACACAGACAGTCAGTACAGTGGTCCCTCTCTATTAATTAAATCCGGCACCATTTGTGCCACGGAAAATCTGCTGGATTAGGGAGGGTGCTGGATTAACAAATCTGATTTACTGCTGCAATGTGCATGAAGAGGACATTTTGGCTACTGGACATTGTGCTTGTTTATCGAGGGTGCTGGATTATAAAGTGCTGGATTAGAGAGGGACGACTGTACAGGTAGACATGTTCCGAATTTTCCCGAGCCGTGCCCAGATTATTCATTTGTCACGAAATACAGACATCTACCGGTATCCTGCTTATCACCAGCGTTGTACATACCGGTAACTCGCACCGACTTTTTGGGGGTGAAGTTCTGTTGCTTATTGTTTTACTCCGGAAAATACAGTCTTACTAGCATTAGTATTATCGGCAGATGGCGTTATTCGGTGCGCATGTGGTCCTATGCCTCTGGCAAATCAAGGCATGAAGAGAGCTAGAGTAGTAGAGAGCTGTACGCATGCATTGTTGCATGTCTCCTGCATAGACTGAGTCAAGATCAACGCATCAAGCTACACTGTCTGTACAGAGAACAGTGACAGCGGAGCCGGCATGGTCTCAACCACCACAATACTATCAGCATGGTGGACTCCAGCAGAGCCTCCACCGCTGTCAAACAGCATGGGAAGTGGCTACAGCGGCGACTCCAGTTTCTCAGCCAATGCCTACTGCAAGAGCAACAACATGTAGAATGGATCCCACAGCAAGGACTAGAAACAGAGCAAGAAGAGCGACACCCAAGGACAACATGATACGGCCTACAGAGACGTATTTAAATAGAGCATAACATCAGACGTAAGAGACATGGACGGGGGAGCAGGAGGAGGATCAGAAGAGAGAGAAAGAGAGTGAGAGTGAGAGTGAGAGAGAGAGAGAGAGAGAGAGTAGGTGTGAGAGAGGAGGGAGAGAGAGAGAGAGAGAGAGAGAGAGAGAGAGAGAGAGAGAGAGAGAGAGAGAGAGAGAGAGAGAGAGAGAGAGAGAGAGAGAGAGAGAGAGAGAGAGAGAGAGAGAGAGAGAGAGTACACAGACTGTTCGGGTGGTGAAAATTAGAAGTCCAGAAGTATATACTTTTGATACACACAGTATTGAGCATACTCAACAGTGCGATGACAATACCGCTTTGTCCATAGTCGTCTAGACTATAGAGTATCTTTTAGTTATAATACTTATGAACTGGAATAAATAGGTGCCTCGACTGAATACAGTAAGATATTATTATTATTATGTCCAGCTTGAAAAGAATGCATTCATGATAGCTAATGAACCTGTGCTAAATGCTAGAGTATGGCCAAGCCGGGGGGAAGTCCCGCTTCTCATCAGGAGGCCAGAGTGTAGTTTCTGTTATGAGGTATGGACTGCTGTGTGTTGTGAGTTGCAGCTCTGTACAAGCAGGTCAGTCGCCTCAAAGTGATATCAAATTTGCACCAAGAGATCAAAGTGTTCTGTGAAACCCGACATGCAGTACAGTGCGGAACGCATTCATTGGCAATTGCATGTCGGGTTCAGTGTGCCAATAGGACGCAAGCTGCCCGATGCCTCTCGCAGTGTACTGTACCACTGAGCTGTAGTGGTGAGTCTTATGATAGGGGTGGGCACCTATAACAGCAACACTGCTGCCCGGATATGCGGCCTGCTATACCATCCACACTGTAACGTGAATAGCATGGCGGAAAAAAACAGCTGAGAGCTTATGCCAGCGGTTTTCTGTTCGGGCGAGGAACAAAAGACTTGCAGAGTGCGCCCATGTGCATGTTGGTCAATCCGGCACAGCACATACGTTTATACCATGCACAGTGCACAGGTTTCAGGGTATTTGCTGACTCCGGCCCGGAACACACTCACGGGGACTCGGCCGCATGGAGTGTCTTGGGCTTAAACTCGGAGATGTGGTCCGGCGGCGATGCCCTCAGCGCTTTCCTGATAGCACTGATCTTTGCAGACGTGGCCACCTTCTCCAGGAAGGCAGCAGTATCGGCAGCATTGTTCAGCACCGCTGTCAGTCCAGTGGTTTTGAGATCAAAGCGATGGTCAACAACCTGCATCTGTGATCAGAAAAGACAGAGTAAATAACTAGTCAGCTGCGGTAGAGTTGACACCAAGTTCACTGCATATTCCTAACTGAATAGAATTCACACCGAGCAATGACACAACCAAGTCCGTCTTTGCCGTTACTCAGAGCTTTGTGTTTGAAGAAAAACACACTCCTGATCAGACACTAGCTTGTCATTGCTGAGTGAGAATTGTATTACTGGCACTGTCTGCTGGTCATGGAACACTATACGTAGCCTGAGGATCTTTTAGACAGCGTTCAGACTACCGTGAATCCCGTCAAACCGTGAAAGGCGATAAACCGTGAAGGACATTCACACTACCGATAAACTAACGTTACCGGTACATAAGTCTTGCAGCTCTCACCGCGGCGCTGAGAAGGGATTTTCCCTTTTTCCCAGCCTGAGCACTTTTTTTACTGCCAGAATGCAGTTACCGCCGCAGCAGTAAAACTTTTCTGCCGGTAACGTGCCAGTAACGTCACGTGATCAAATCACCTTGGAAACTTTTCCATTCCGTCACTTTTTATCGGTAGTCTGAACGCGCCCTTAGACAGCGTTCAAGTGACCTCATCATGTAGAAATATGATGATCTTGTTCACACAAGTGTTGAGTTCGAAACAGGACGACTGACGACACATTATCCAGACATTACAACGGGAACGGTTAGGTTGGGGGAACGACATTTATTATAGACGACGAGACAAGAGACCAAGACGAACGAAACGACTACATGGTGATTATTGACGAGTGAGAAAAGAGAGAGAGAGAGAGATCAAGTCTAAACGGCAAGATAAAGGGCCTGGGTAGCTATGGCAAATATGGGCGCGCAAGTAGCTACCCAGGCCAACGGAGCAAAAGGAGACAAAAGGTGCGTACGCAAGTGCATGCAGGCCAGCTAGAAAAGGTACGGGAGGGGGTACCTAACATACCACCCCTCCATGAAAAAAAATCCCGCGTCCTCGCGGAGAGAAAAAAAGAGAGAAAAAGATTTAAAAAAATGACTGACGGAGAAAAAAACACACACACACATACTGCACGCGCGCACGGATCTCACGAAAGTGTGTACTAAATGCACTACAGATTATTCCTGTACTTCTTATAGTGTGTAATAACTATTGGAGTTTGACGAGGAACATGAATTACTAGTATTTTGCACGGCTAATACAGCCTAGTTACACTTTTGCTAAACATCCAAAAATTAGAGCGTGGCTCACCATGATCGGACCCCTAACTTGGTAATGTTTTACGAACACACGCGCGCACACACACTACAAAAAAATTCACGAAAAAAAATTTGACGAAGAAGGAACGCATACAAAAAAAGAAAGAGAGAAAGGTAGCTGACCTGCATGGCTTGAACGAGACTAGACGAGGTTGGCGTAGGAGAGACGAGGTTGATAGAGACGAGAAGAGTTTGGCGTAGGAGAGACGAGACTGACATGGACGAGACGAGGTTGACATAGACGAGACGAATGGCGGTTGAGGACGGCTGGGCATGGGATGATCTCAGGGTCGTGGGTCGATCAATAATCGGGCGCCAATGTTGAATTCGAAACAGGACGACTGACAACGTATCCAGACATTACAACGGGAACAAGTTAGTGGGAACGACATTTATTATACTAGTAGACGACGAGACAAGAGACCAAGACGAACGAAACGACTACATTGAAGAGTGAGGAAAGAGAGCGTGAGATCAAGTCTAAACGGCAAGATAAAGGGCCTGGGTAGCTATGGCAAATATGGGCGCGCAAGTAGCTACCCAGGCCAACGGAGCAAAAAGGAGACAAAAGGTGCGTACGCAAGGGCATGCAGGCCAGCTAGAAAATGTACGGGAGGTGGTACCTAACATACCACCCCTCCATGAAAAAATCCCGTGTCCTCGCGGAGAGAAAAAAAAGAGAGAAAAAGATTTAAAAAAACGACTGAAGGAGAAAAAACACACACACACACACACACACAACGCACAGGCCTCACAAAAGTGTGTACTAAAAAAAAGCACTACAGATCATTACAACCGTCAACGTTCCTGTACTACTCATACTATAGTGTGTACATTGCCAATAACAACGGGCCCAAACGCCCCTTCAAAACATGGCACAAAAAATAACTATTGGAGTTCGACGAGGGACTTGAATTGTATTCTGAGGACTAGTATTTTGCACGGCTAATGGAGCCTAGTTACACTTTAATATACGACATAAATAAGAGAGCGTGGCTCACCATGATCGGACCCCTAATATTAATGAAGGACACCCGCGCGCACACACACTACAAAAAAATTCACGAAAAAAAAATTTGACGAAGAAGGAACGCATACAAAAAAGAAAGAAAGAAAGGTAGCTGACCTGCATGGCTTGAACGAGACGAGGTTGACATAGACGAGACGAGGTTGGCGTAGGAGAGACGAGGTTGATAGAGACGAGACGAGGTTGGCGTAGGAGAGACGCGACTGACATGGACGAGACGAGGTTGATATAGACGAGACGAATGGTGGTTGAGGACGGCTGAGCATGGGATGATCTCAGGGTCGTGGGTCGATCAATAATCGGGCGCCAATGTTGAGTTCGAAACAGGACGACTGACGACACATTATCCAGACATTACAACGGGAACAGGTAGGTTGGGGGAACGACATTTATTATAGACGACGAGACAAGAGACCAAGACGAACGAAACGACTACATGGTGATTATTGACGAGTGAGAAAAGAGAGAGAGAGAGAGATCAAGTCTAAACGGCAAGATAAAGGGCCTGGGTAGCTATGGCAAATATGGGCGCGCAAGTAGCTACCCAGGCCAACGGAGCAAAAGGAGACAAAAGGTGCGTACGCAAGTGCATGCAGGCCAGCTAGAAAAGGTACGGAAGGGGGTACCTAACATCTATTTTATTAACGTCTAAAAAACGCCAAAGCGAGGTGATGCAATTTGAAATTTCTTGACAGCCGCATTTTCTGCATTTCAAGTTAAAATTGAGTGAGTTTTTTTTTCGGGCAAGGAACACTCTTACACTGTATTTCATGACTAGCCGGGTCACAGTGTGAGCACACCCGTAAACAGCTTGATGCAATCATTTCAAGTAAACGGGGCCCGAATCCTTTTTACTTACCCCAAAGTAATGGAAGGTCCTGACTTTCTCGCTGAAGTCCATCTTGCCCACAATCGATTTGCGATGCTCCTGTTCATCTTGTTCCTTTTTTGATGATTCAATGTCAAAGAGCTTGGCTCGAAGCAGCTTCAGGCAGTTTTCTCTGTTCTGGGAAACAGGACAAGGACAAGACAAGACAAAGTAGCCAAATGGTCATTGTGAACAAATTCCCAGGAAGAGACAAAGAGGAGACAAAACAAGTCAATCCGGTTATGCAGTGACTCAAACTATAAAATCACCTAGAAGGAAAAGACAGTGTCTGCAAAGACAAAATCAGAAACTTGAACGATAAATTTCACGTACCAAGCAGTTGCAGCAACAACAGCCGAAACATCAGAAACAGCAACAACAATGAAGACAACAACAACAATGAAGACAACAACGACAATGAAGACAACAACAACAACGAAAACAACAACAACAACAATGAAGACAACAACAACAATGAAGACAACAACGACAATGAAGACGACAACAACAACAACGAAAACAACAACAACAACAATGAAGACAACAACAACAATGAAGACAACAACGACAATGAAGACAACAACGACAATGAAGACAGCAACAACAATGAAGACAACAACGACAATGAAGATAGCTACAAGAATGAAGACAACAACAACAATGAAGACAGGAACAACAATGAAGACAACAACGACAATGAAGGCGATAAGAACAACAAACACAACAAGAACGAGAAAACAACCACCACCACAACCACGGCTGCCGCTGTCAAAAAAATCGGCAACGTCACACGACGACCACAACAACAACAACATCAGCAGCAGCAGTAACAACAGTCTAACACATTTTGTTGACAACAGAAATATTTCCTGGCTGGAGTGCTAGGAGTATTAAAAGATTTACAGGAGGAGCAATTAGCAACTGCACTTACCACACTCTGCACACGAGATGTTTCAGAACGGAATGCAATGCCACTTGGGATGTGAGTCACACGTACTGCACTCTCTGTCTTCTGGACATGCTGTCCACCAGCACTACGGGATTAAAAACAAGAGAGAGAGAGAGAGAGAGAGAGAGAGAGAGACAGAGAGAGAGACAGAGAGAGAGAGGGAGAGAGAGAGAGAAGAGAGAGAGAGAGAGAGAGAGAGAGAGAGAGAGAGAGAGAGAGAGAGAGAGAGAGAGAGAGAGAGAGAGAGAGAGAGAGAGAAGAGAGAGACAGAGAGAGAAAGAGAGAGAGAGAGAGAAAAAGAGAGAGAGAGAAAGAGAGAGAGAGAGAGGGAGAGAGAGAGAGAGAGAGAGAGAGAGAGCGAGAGAGAGAGAGAGAGAGGCTAATTTGCAGCATCTGCTTGTATAACTGTGTCCAGTGGTGAAAGACTACCGTACGGCACTACTCTAGACAAAGGATGCTCAGGAGGTTACACAATCTTAAATTAAACTGTGTTCACAACTGGCGTGTTGACGCGGTACGCTGGCGGATCATGCGTGCCCAAGCGCACATTCAGCCTTTCAAAAAAAAAAAGCAGCAATTCGAGTCGTATTTTAGGGCGGGCGACACCACCGAATACTAAGTGTTTGACCCTGTGAATCAAAGTGACTGGCATGTACGCCGGTACGCGCCTGATATGTGCTGGAAAATAAAACATACTGGAATTTTATTCCTGTAGCTATGCAGAAGACATTACTTCAGTAACGTCTGGCGCTAGCCCGGGTCCACACAGCTTTAATTTGGTGTACGTGGCGAGCGGGCGGACCTCCGTCTGGCGCTATCCTGTACCGTACCGTGCCATCAAAGACAGCTGGCCACAAACAGCTGGCCACCATATTCAAACAGGGCTTTCAAATGCAAGATCATAACGTGAAGCAACTTGGAAGAATGAGCATGAATGCGAAGTGTATCGGGTAATGCATGTAGGGCGATTGTGCGGGTTCGAATCCCAGGTTATGCCTTGAAAAATAGGAGAATCGAAAAAATTATAACATCCCTATGCTTTTTGCCTAGGTCATCAAGGTGGTAGACGGTGTCGTATTACCCTCGACCGTACCTGTCCCGTACCGTACCATCAAAGGTGGCTGGCCACAAACAGCTGGCCACAATATTCAAATAGGGCTTTCAAATGCAAGATCATAACGTGAAGCAACTTGGAAGAATTAGTATGTATGCGAAGTGTATCGGGGATGCATGCAGGGCGACAGTGCGGGTTCGAATCCCAGGTTATGTCTTGAAAAAAAATAGGATAAATGAAAAATTTACTATGCTTTTTTTGCCTAGGTCATCAAGGCAAAAAAGCATAGCGTAGGGCCCTGAGCTTCCAAGCTCTCTCGTTTTGGCATGATTTCATATGCATGACGACCAACAAAAAAAAGAGTTCGCTAGAGACTCAGTTAGACTGAGTATTCAGCATCCGTAGGAACACCACCACCCAGCAAAGATCTAAAGGGCGATTCACAATTCAACTTTTTGTGACGCGATACGCGATTCGCGACAGCTGCGACAAGAAACTGCCTGTCGCGAGCTGTCGCAAGGTACCTGTCGCAGAAGTTGAAGAAAGTTCAACTTTTGCGACATGGGACTCACGACATACACAAATGGAGTACATTTTCGACCCTGGATGCACGTGCAGTGCACGTGCATAGTACTACTTGTGCATGTGGAAGTCGCAAACATGAAGAACATTGTGAACCGTGTGTTGCTGTCGCAGCTCGTCGCATGTGTCGCAAGTCGCATGTCGCGTCGCAAGAAGTTGTATTGTGAATCGGCCTTTAGACGCAGATGCAGCTCCTGAAGCGGCCGAAGACGACCAAAAGCCAGCAAAGTACGCACGAATGCGTGGTTCACGCGTACAGTACACGTACCAGTTGTAAACACTGCTTTAGGGTGATGCATTCCCATCCACAAAAAGCCAAGACTTGCCAGTGTAACTCCTGCGAATGTTCCATGTGTCAATCCACTATCGGGCAAATGTTTTGAACACAGGACGGTTCACGAGCTGCAACAAACTGTTTCCGGCCGAAAAATCTTATACGAATATCATTCATTCCTAGATGGTCATGAGTCCAACTGGGACAGAACTTCTTTGTGAAAAGCCATAGACCTACCCAGATGCTCTGAACACTTCATATTTCAAATCCTTGGCATCAATGACAATATCTAGCTGCAAGAAAGGCACAAACCAACACGGGCGCACACAAACACACACACACACACACACTACTACTACTACTACTACTATTGACAGCTGCCAGAAATGGCCACGCCGCTCCCCAAAGGGAGGTACTGTCAGAGAGGTTAGGGGAGAGGTAGGCAGTGCTTCAAATGGCGCTCCAGGTCCTGTCGCCTCCGAAACTGGCGTTGACTACAGACTCGGCAATGATGTTCAAAGTGCTGGCGATCAGTCACTGTAGGGCGCTTCGGGCGGGGTCCACAGCGATGGCGCTTGAGGCCAGCAGTAGACTTGAAAGTACGCTGGCAGGCAGTACACACCGGGACCTCGGCAACAGGAGGAGCATCAAAAGGCGGTCGGTCGTCACAGTTGTCACTCCCTAGGCACTTATGCACTGCAAGCCCACCCCTGCTCCGGAGCCATCTACTACAGGCAGGACACTGCACCGACCCAGGCTGCTGTGATACGGGGAGCTGTCGGACTGCTGTGCACTTGTGCCGGGCCATGTCGGCGCGCCGACGAAACAGGCGGCCGCAAACGTGGCACACAATCGTCTTCGGGGCAGGCTCCTTCACCCCCGCTGCTGCCGACACTATGTCACGCCACTCTCCGCGATCGTTGGCTGATTGGAACCAATTGTGCACACCGGCCACAGTCAGATCAGCCTGGACAACGTCCTTCCAGCGATGTCGGGGGCCGCAAAACGGGCGGGTTCGTGGAAGATGAGCGAAGAGCAACTGCTTGGGTAACCGATTGTTATCAAGCCGAGCTAGGTGCCCAAGCCACTCCAAGCGTCTTCGCTGTACCATGCACGACAGTGGAGTAGGGTCACCCCACTGTGTGCGTAGTTGCTCCGATGTAATGTGCTGCTCCCACTGGCGGCCGCGCGAAATGCCAAGGATTGACCGTAGGTTGGCGTGATGGAACCTGTCCAGCTTGTCCAAGTCCGACTTCAATGGGGTCCAACACTCCGAGCCATACAAAACCGTGGTGAGAACACATACCACATACAAATGCCGTCGAGTAGGCAGGTTCAGGCTCTGATCATGTAAAATCCGCCGAAGACAGCCAAAGGCCCTGGCACCCTTCGCAAGGCGGCTCTGGACATCGGCATGAGCTCGCGAATCCGGAGTTATAACAGATCCAAGATAGGGGAAGGAGGTAACAGCTTCAACCCTTTCATTGCCAACTGCCAGATCGGAACAATCAGCGGCAGCGACTCCATAGCCCGCGACCAGTAGCTTAGTCTTCGTCATGCTGACCGTGAGGCCAAAGCTGGATGCCACATCGCAGAAGGCGGACAGGGACAGGTCGGCTGCAGCACGAGTTGTTGCGAGTAGGACGGCGTCATCGGCAAACTCAAAATCATCAGCATGACCAGTCTGAGACTGTCGACGTCGCCCAGCTGCACGGGGAAACAACTGTCCATTAATCAAGAAGCTGAAATCCACACCAGACTCGATGCCGCGCTCCCTGAGAACAGACCTCCATCGCTCCATCACCAATCCGAAATACAGGTTGAACAGCACAGGAGCCATGACACACCCCTGCCGTAAACCATTTTGTACAGAGATCGGATCGGTACAACCACCAGCAACACGAACAGACGCCAACATGTCCGTATGGAACGACTTCACGAGAGCCACAGCCTGAGGGGGGACACCGAGCCGAAGCAATGCCTGCCACAGAGCCTCACGAGGCACAGAGTCGTATGCTTTGCGGAGGTCCACAAAGACGCAAAACAGCTTCGATCTATGCTCATATGATTTCTCTACCAGTTGGCGGACAGAGAAGATGGCATCAGCACAACCACGGTTTCGCCGGAACCCACACTGCGACTCCGGTAGCTCATCCTCAGCGAGCACTTGCAGCCGATTCTGCACGACCCTAGCAACTAGCTTCCCCACAACCTCCAGCAACGCAATTCCTCGCCAGTTGTCGCAGCGAGAAAGGTCACCCTTCTTAGGTATGGGGATGAGCACTGCATCACGCCAGTCCTGCGGTACGTAACCCTCCGACCAGACAGATTGAAGCAGGTCCAGAAGGAGTGGGTGGAGGACGGGCACACCAGCCTTCAACAGTTCAGGCACGATCTGCGACATGCCACCAGCCTTGCCGTTCTTCAGATGTCTCAGGGCATGGGTCAACTCCTCTCCCGATGGTGGCTGCGTTAGCGAGTGCATGATCTCCCGCTGGGGGATTTGCTGGAATACCTCTGCATCGTAAGTACTGCAGACATTCAAAACACCTGAGAAGTGCCCGTGCCATGTGTCCCTCTGCTCTTGCACAGATCCACAGACGTCTCCCCGAGTGTCGCGGATAGCCTGTACAGATATTGGCTTTAGCCCACCAAAACAGCGCTGCATATCTCGGATGGCAGACCACACATATTTGCCAATGAAACGTCCCCGCTGCACCACCGCCGCTTTTTCCATTAACCAGGTGGTCTTTACCCGCCGTATACCAGCCCGAGCCTGGCCACGAGCCTCCTTGAAAGCCCTGTGATCATTCTGATGGCCAGTTCTGAGCCACAGGTCGTATAGCCGATTACGGGTTGCTAGTAGGGGCTCCAGTGTCGGGGCACTATCACGAAACCAGTCCGGTACACGCCGCTTGTCTCGGCCAACCACCTCCCCAGCCACATCGACGACAGCCGACTTCACAGCACTCCACTTACAGTCCACGGATGAGGCACTATCATATGTATCAGCCAGCCGAGACTCAAGACCAGCACAGTACCCAGCACGCAATGCAGACACACCCTCAGCCTCCTCCTCACTCATAAATGGCAACCGGTTAAACCGATGAACAGCAAATTTCCGAGGCCTGGAATGCGAGTCACGGTGATAGCGCTGCTGCGCAATATCAGGTAATCGATACTTCATGCGGATCAAGCGGTGGTCAGTGCTACACTCTGCCGTACGCATCACTTGACAATCCATGCAACGTTTACGATATCGCTGCCGAACAATTACGTAGTCTATGCAGTGCCATCTCTGTGAACCAGGGTGTTGCCAGGTGTACATGTGGATGCGCTTCTTGGGAAACAGTGTGTTACAGACAGTCAGCTGTTGACAGGCCAAGAAAGCAAGAAGGCTATGGCCAGCGTCATTCACTTCACCCACACCATGCGATTCATGTACTCCCTGCCACATCTCCATTTGCTGTGGACCAGTACCTACACGTGCATTGAAGTCACCCAGGACAATGACATCATCCAGAAGATTGATATCGTCCAGTGCAGCTTCAAGCTGAGCAAAGAACTCGTCCTTGTCGATTTGAGCCGACCTGAATGTTGGAGCGTAACAGGACATCACCGTCATCCAAGAAGGAGAGTTGTCATTGCCGAAATTTAGCCGGGCTGTGACAATGCGTGATGAGATAGCTTTCCACTGGCAACCTCCACACTCGAACGCTTGTTTAGCCCTACGTCGTAGGACCAGTGCAACTCCCTCGGAGCGACGAAAATTTTCGGCAGGCACAGGGCGACCAGACGCGAGCACGGTGGCATCACCAACACTAAAGGAATCCCCGCCGAACCACTTCGTTTCCTGCAGTCCAACCATCTCTATATCAACTCTGGACAGCTCACGGATCACCAAGTCAATCTTCTTGTCCTCCACGACAGATTCGAAATTTGAATTTTGAAAACGTCCTCTTCTTGCCGTCTCGACGGGTCCGTCATTGTTCACCAAGGTTCGAACGTTCCAAGACCCAAAGGCCAATGTCCGCAGCCTGTTTCTCCTCTTCCTCTCTGACAGCACTCTCTGAGCTTTACAGTTGGAAACCATTCGGGGGTCAGCTACACCGCCGCGAATGCCGTGAGACGAGGACGACAACAGTCGTGACAGAAAAACACCGCCCTGGCGACCGCGTCATGAAACCCTCGCCTCAGAAATTTCATGAACACGCCAAGGGCGACTCTGGTAGGTCCAGAGCCACCCCGTGGCCAAGTGGGAGAAGGCTGAACTCGAAAAGGTCAGAGCAAAAAAAGTACAACCGTCCCCTTCAAGCACAAAGGGACACACACACACACACACACACTCACACACACACTCATACGCATGCACACACAAACACACAGCGTCTGATTTGGACTAACCACAGGCACGGATGCACATACACACGCCAATCGCTGAAGGCTGATAAATCGACTACCACAATTTTAACCTGATCACTCCTCCACATAGCTCACTGAAGCAGCTTTTTCTGGCCCGCGAATACCTACTCTTGATTATTCGATTTTTTGGACATGCAAACCACACCACACACTCTGGCATCCACTATCAGTAGGTAAACACCAGGGTGAATGAAAGAAGAGCTAAGAGAATGAGAAAGTGAACACGTGCGACTTAATATAATCACGAATTCAACCTGCAACCTCTTGATGGGGAATCGACTGCATATACCACTGCACCATATGGGACACACAATTCACACACGATGCACACACACACACACACACACGATGCACACACACTCACACACACACACACACACACACACACACACACACACCTCAGACCTCAGACCTGCCCATCGAGGAAGCGATGATAGCGAACAGCTATGTTAGACATAGCAACTTGTGCTGGGATTACACCATTCAACAGCTTGCAAGGCTGATGAATTGACCGCCACTATTTTTAGCCTGGTATCCACCACACAGCTGATTGAAGTGACTTTTTCTGGCCAGTGAATCCCTATTTTTACACACACACACACATACACACACACACACACACATACCGACATACGGACACACGTGAACACAGCGTCGTACCTCGGTGGGTTCTGGTAGGATGAGGATGGCCACGGTGCTGGTGTGACGACGACCCATGGCATCCGACTTTGGTACTCTCTGCACACGATGTACACCACTCTCGAACTATACAAAACAGTAAAAACAACAATGGTAACAAAAGAAGCAGCATTAATAATCTTGTTGTACACAAGAATACAAGTCTTGCGTTCTGAAAAATTGATAAATAAATCTTGAGCAGGGCTCAATCTGACTTTCATGCCATGGAATGTCTCAGTAATCCTTGCAAGTTTTGTGCTAAATTGTGAAGGTATAAAATTGTTCAAGATCTGGTCTAGTTGGTGGACTCTTGAGGCATAACTTGTGCCCCACTGTCTTCTTCGCTTACATCTTTTTTTAAATACTTCATTGGCTCATTAACTGGGTGTAACATAGTATTGGGGCTGGGTTTAGCATCATCTCTTGTCAGTTACATGTTTCCCTGCACTAACCGATGTACGATTAGATGAGAAGGCACAACTACTTTCTTAAGGCATATATGCCTATAATTTATCTGTGTAGACTCACAAGAAGTGTCAGTTTCGAAGTCTTTTAAGGAAAGGTTGAGCGGTCGCGGCTGGGATGACGACTACACCATAGCTCAGTAGTAGAGCACCGCTAGCCATAACCAAGTGTCCCTGGTACGAGACCTGGTGGTGGCAGTCAAGTTTTTCTTCGGACTTTCCCTGTTTCAACTCCCTAAAACTTTTGAAAATCTACTCGAAGTAGGAGAGTAAAATTAAATTTATCACTCAAACAAAAACAAACAAAATATGATAAAACTAGGTGTGCAGTGCAGGACAGCTGTTAGTACGTCAGAATATTACAGTTTTGCGTAATGATGCTCAGGGTAAGTTCTGGCCAAGGAGGAGCTCATGAGCTTAATAATATGAACGCAGGTGTTAGCTGAAATTTATTTGACTGGCAGGTATCTGATTTGCTTGGAATACTCTTTTAGCTACATGTATGCTAGCAGTATACCGTACTAATGACAAGGTTATGCCTAAATTATGCCAGTTGATAAACCAAATGGTCCCGAAATGAGGCCAGGCCGTAGGAGGCACGATTTGGGGCCCTTTTCTGCTTTATGCAGTGATTATGCCTAAATATTCTCGGTCGGATGCCTTTTTCAGATAAATTGGGGCTATGCTCAAAATAGACCGTTTCCACCATAAGGGTCACGTGATCCGATACAGGGCATCCTCTTCGATATTTGTGCAGAGTATCAGTTGTTGAGCATGGTGAGACACTGTAGATTTCCATTTGGAGATGGAGGAGAGTGTTTCGAGTGGTTTGGCACCGATGGCTGTGGAGTCCGTGGACGAACTGCCAAATGAAGAATGATCTGAGAGGGGAAAAAAGGTGTGTTCCTGTCTGGAAAAGAAGGTGTTACTGGAATGGTAAGGTTTCCACATTCATACGATACTTCGGATTACTTTAGTTTGAAATTTCTTTTCATTTCTCTACGTCTCCCCTGTTGATGTACAGGGCACTTTGCTATTCAAAACCCTGATGCTCCTAGAACTAAGAAGGGTGCCACTTCCTCGAGTGTACCGTCATCAGGCCCAAAAGTTCATGCATCCGGGTGAACGAGTGATGAACCTCTGTTTCACAAAGTGAGTGCCACTGCCATGCTTGCTCATCTCCAACACAGAGTCAAGTCGCCAATGACAACACAGAGGCAAGTCGCCAATGACAACGAAGAGGGAGCTGATGGAGTAGTACTAGTAAAGACGCCCATAGATCGTGTCCATGAGTTTTACTTTGGTGGCTAGGTGCACGATATGATAGTCTGCTATATCGTGCACATAACCACAGCTCGAACTCGGATGACTTTCTCCACACATCTGAGTGACGAGGCTGCGTCTCTCTGCAGTTCAACATCAGCAGCTCGAGCAGCGCCAGCAAGCAGTCGATCTTCCTTGGATGGTGCAATCAGGGAGGGGACATGCCTTTTCTCAAGCTCGGGAGTCTCTTAGCAGAACAGTTTGTGTCCTCGTAAAGGCAAGGATGAAAGTCACCATCGACAAAATGCTCCGAGCACAACACTGTGGACGATATGTAAACTGCGGCCCTCTTCTCGCCGGATGCCCTGGATTCAAGAGTGTCAAATGTCAGCATCACCAGAGAACCCTTGGACAGACAAGTGGGATTTCTTGGACTAGTGACGACGGTTGCTGCAAACAAGAACCCAACAGTGGTCCTAGGAAAGCATTTTTCCTCGGAAAACATTTTCTTCGGAAAGCATATAGAAACCTCTTTCTTCAGAACTAAAAAAAAACAAATAAAAAAATGCTGGAAAGTAACACACACATGAACAAATAAGTTTGGCCGTAGGGATCGTGAAAACACAGGAAACTTGATCACGTTCTGCACCAAACTATACATGCTGGTTGCACGCCAAGTGTGCAGTGCGTACAAAGCATGCCCCGTATCGGACCCTCTGGCTTATGGTACAAAGCTCTAGTATGCGGGCATTATCCTCCGATGTCTACTAGTATCCGCCAGTCTCTCTACCACCACTACCCCCCCCCCCCCTCCCCCCTCCCCTACATTTCACACGCTTCACACACAATCGTATTTACTTACTTGAAGAGCACCGGAAATAGGGTTTCCTGTTATGAATTCAGTGGCTTCCTGCAGTGAAAAGGCAATCAGAAAATACACATACACGCCAAGAAATGAACGCCCAGAGCCCGCACTATCCTCGCTATGCTTTGTTTTTACCTAGGCCATCATGCGTGTTTTAACTTTGAAAAGTTGAAATGATAGACACGTCTTTGCAATACGATTATTGGGCTTCCTGCAGTGAAAAGAAAACAATCCGAAACTTATACACACACATGCTAAGAAAATAAGAAAACAGGGAACCAGTTGATCAGGAGCACATACATTTGACGTTTCTAAAAATTTCATTTCGGACAGTCGACACAGTCGGTTTTGGAACCACAGTGAATCCAGAATTTTCAAACGCATTTCACTTTCACAAAGTTACACTCAGGAAATATACGGGCCCTGCTTAGTATGTTGGTTGGGTGTGTGAAGAGACAGTAGTTACTGCAACAAAGGTGTAATTCATAAACTGGCAAGGTGGAATTGTCCATAAACAAAATTTGGGTGCAAATGATGAATGGCAGAGAAACCCCAGACTAACATTTCCTAGACAAATATAATCACAGTACACATTGTACAGTGTGTCTTGAGAGAATAGAACTTCATATTATAGCGATGTTTATGATGACTCGTGCTTTTGTGTTTTGTGTCACGCCAGTAGTGTGCGACAACTTCATAATTTAGAATCTATTTTCATACGCCTTCGCAACCCAAACCTACGCATTCAGAAAGAACACATCACCGCTCTTACACTTTTCCCTGGCACCCCTACACATATCCGTAATGTTAACTTTCAAACCGTCAACCATTTTTCACCCTTACACCCAGTTTCAACATGTCATAGAGTTTTTCCCTCATTTCTGTGTTGTTACATTGAATATCCCTACATTTATTGCGACAAAATATTCTCCTTATTTACGGCTTACTTGCAATTCATTGTGCATGGTGATTCTTTCCTGGTGATAGCCACAAGAAAACGTTTGATATAACTACTTGTTGCTCTGTGTCTGCGAATGACTGTGTTCACATTTCCTTACCCTTATTCTAATTATGGTTGATAAATATGGTGGTAAAGACACACCCGGCAATATGGCGGTAAACACACGCCTACCCACACACGCTCTCTAGGCTGCAAAGTTCTGGCACAGAGCTCTTCTTCTCACCACCACCACCATCAGTTCGCGCCTGGCGCCTGGTCGATGCATGGCTTCATTCTGACTTATTCTAATTATATAAAAGAAATAGGACCAAGGAACTACAAGTAACACTATACTGTCCACTCAGTTTCAACATGTGATAGAGCGGTCTTCTCTCGTTACTGTGTTGTTACATTGAATATCCCTCCCCCCCCCCCCCCCCCCATTACTTTGACAACGTACTGGAAACTGCCTAATATTCGCGACGCATTAATGTTCGCTATTTTCGCGAGAAGAGAGTAACGCGAATATTATTATTATTATTATTATACGCATTCCCGCGGCAGCGTCAACCAAGCAGTTATGCTTGATCCACACGTTCGCTTATGCTGGACATTGAAGCAAAGCAGATGTAGACAGCTCCTAGAGAATGGGGCTCTACAAAACCAATGATCGAAGTTAGTCCTTCAGTAACATGGAGCGTCATAAAATTGGTCTCATTGGAAAAATGTCATCACTATTGTCTCCTCATGTAGCATCATGGTCAATGGGTGGCCAGATAATTATACGTATGATGTTGAGTTGCCAGATAATTATTAAAAGATTCAAATAGTAATATTATTATAGAATGGTTGTTATGAGTTTATAAGGGTGCCATGGCTGTTTCTACTCGTGACGAGGGTGTGCACAAACACTCTTCACCAGCGCGTTCCATGCTGGACGGTCCACAGCAATCCGCTCCAGACGGCGCAAGTCCTCAACACTCCGCAGGTGCCCATTGTTCGACTGGGACGCGAATATTAACCATCGTGAAATCTAACTTCAACAGTGGGTGGATGTAAGTGGCCCCAGTGTTTCGCGAATTTTTACCATCGCAAACTCGCTGGTTCTAAGAAATCGCGAAAATTTAGTGACGCGAATATTGGGCCGTTTACAGTATTCCCCTTGTTGGTTTTGTGCACCAGCACATGTTCTCCAGGCGTCAGGGGGCCAGCCTCCCGCCCAGCCTCTCGCCCAGCCTCTCGCCCATCCGACTCACAAACACAGCGACACAACTGAACTAAAGTATTACATAGTTAATTGACAAGACGGAGACGGCCAAAGAAGAAGACCGGAGACGACGAAGCAAAACTGATAACCAAAGAAAAGACAAACATCGTGGCAGCATATGAGCATGCGCAGGACAAAAAATAATCAATTTTACACGTGACAAGGAGGTAAGCGTTCCACGGTTCACAGAAGACTGCACGTGCAACAAAAACAATGCAACAAAGTCAAAAGGAACACACTACAAAAAAGAAAAGAAAAAAAGAACCATACGCACAACAGCTGAGTCTTCAGGCTCGGCGGACATAGTACCTTGCCATGATCCAGGCGAAGCTGTGCTACGCCACAAACTCCTTCTGCCCCTCTCTCACTGCTGCAGGCCTCATAC